AAGCGCGTTTACCGCTCGATTCAACAGACTACCGCCCGACGCTGACATTCGTTACAGTCCTTTATCTTAGGTGTGGGACCATTCGCTGCCACGGCTGATTGTAGTGCTTGTCGCACCGACGATAGGTTCGAACCTCCGAATCTGCCTTCACGTGTTCCGAAGGTACCAGACGTGTTCGATGTAATCGCCGTACACGCGTAAGAGTACGACCTTCGGTATATATTGTAACTGTTCGGCGCTCAAGTTTCAAATATCAAAAGGATGACTCAGCGCGAGATACATTTTGCTACTGCGCGATTCGCGGGATTCGCACGTCTTTAAATAGTCGTTCGAGAGCGCACAGCCTGTAGTGTGAGCATAAAATTCGTGCTGCAACCGCTGACGATACGCGTCACGAACTGTGACGCGAAATCGCGAATGATGGGAGGTAGCGCGGAGAAGCGCAAGCACGGTGAAATGCTGCCGAGTACTATACGCGCGATCATTTGCGGCCCGTCGAATTGCGATAAAACCAACGTTCTCATAAGCTTACTCGAGAGCCCGAACGATATACGTTTCGAGAACGTATACGTCTATTCGAAATTGTTGCAACAGCCAAAGTATCGATATCTCGAAAATTTGTTTACGTCTATCGACGAAATCGGCTACTTTACGTTCTCCAACAACAACGACGTTCCACCGAGTGAGGCGCGCCCAAATTCTATTTTTATCTTTGATGACGTGGCATGCGACAAGCAGGATGTGGTGAGAGAATACTTCTCGATGGGCCGCCACGCGAACGTTGACTGCTTCTATCTCTGTCAGACGTATGCGAGGATACCTAAACATCTGATACGCGATAACGCGAACCTTCTGATCCTATTCAAACAGGACGATACCAACTTGAAACACGTTTACAACGATCATGTAAATACCGACATGTTGTACAACGAATTTTGTACGTTGTGTCACACCTGTTGGCAACAAAAATATGGATTCGTAGTGATAGAAAAGACAGTGCGCTCACAAATGGACGATACAGAAAAGAATTTAACGAGTTCGCGATACCGTAACGCGACCAGTCGTTGTCGATACTTAGCCAGAGACAAATATGACAGATGTGCGCGAGCGTGAAAAAATCGCGAGGGCGATTAAGAAAACGAGCGATCCGTAAGAAACATCGAGCTCTGAAGACCGGTAGAATCGAGGAGGACATCGCGTTGAACAGACGTTTTAAGCCTCTTATCAAGCCGCTGCAACTTTTCGTCGACAGCCCCGACGTGCAAGCGACAAAGAGAGAGTCGCGCGACGAAGATACAGCGTCTGTCCATAAACGCGAGAGGAAAGAGGAAGAGGAACAAGAGGAGAGAGAAGAAGCGAGCGAGACATTCGAGCGTTCCACGACTCTGCATAAATCCAATGATCGATCGCACGATGATGTACAACCAATAACCTCCACCCCGCATGCCAAAATCGTACCAACGATAGAGTCGTTTGAGAACATTTTCGAAACGACGGAAGATTCATTAGCGACGAAGGTTCAAAATCAGCTGCAAACGTCGGAAGGTCGAGAGGCGTTACAAGCTGGTTTGGGCCCTCTGGGTCAAAAGTACGTCGAGGCCGTCCTGAGGGGAGCGCTATATAAAGAAAGGTATAAATCGCGTGTACGGCGTTTACCTACACAAGAATGGGCTGATGAATTGGCAATAAACGTTTCGACGTGGATGACGCGGATAACATAATTATCGACGGCGTACGATACGCTGATACACCAGGTCTTTACGAGTTGATTTTCAAGAGAATTCCCGACGATGCCCTCTACACGGAAGACGATATGCACAAGTACAAGAGCATGCTGTTGATGACGAACGCGCACAAACACAAGAATCATTCACAGGGTCAATTATTGAGCAGAGGATACAAGTACAAACACGTAATCGCGCCGTTGATGTCGGTCACACCCAAGAAACAGAAGAAATCTGGAAAGGGATTACCTCACGTAATGACATTGAACGACAATGCGATCGATTACGTGCACTGGGATGATCCCAACGAGCTGGTGGATCGTCTACGATTGCTCGACGCTTCGCACCGAGCAGGCAACAACGCTCACGACAACGAGATGCTGTCGATCATCGAGGAGCTTCGCGAAGCCGGTCTTATTATAAATTAAATCACGTATTCATAAAACGAGTCACTCGAGTGACGCCAGCGAGAAAAATACATTAATTTCTTGTACTCTGTGTATTACACGTCGAATCATGAAAAAGAAATCCGATGAAAAGAGAGAACAAATTAGCTCCGTGAAACGTCAACTCGTCGAGAAATTGCACGCTCCGGCGAGAAGAAATTTTCCGCGAAGGCGTGTCATAGTCCGAGGGTACGATCTGTGGCAGGCTGATATCGTTGAGATGCGCGCATACTCGAGTTTCACCAGAGGCTACCACTACATACTCACCGTCATCGATGTGTTGAGCAAGTACGCGTGGGCCGTTCCGCTCAAGAGCAAGGGTGGAAGCGAGGCGGCGAACGCTATCGCTGAGATCGTTCGAGAGAGTGAAAGATGTGCGAAAAATTTACAAACGGGTATGGGAAAGAATTTTACAATGCAGATGTACAGAATATTTTGAAACAACACAACGTTAATCACTATTCCACGTATTCGACGTTGAAAGCATCAGTGGTCGAGCGGTTCAATCGCACGCTCAAAAACGACATGTGGAAGATGTTTACACTCAACGGCAATTACAAGTGGGTCGACGAGCTGCCGCGTCTGGTGTCAGATTACAACGCGCGCAAGCATCGCACCATCGGCATGCGACCCTCTGACGTAACTTCTGCGATCGCCGAAAAACTCTTGGGCACAGTGTACAGTGCGATAAAGATAGCGGGTCCTGCAAAATTCAAAGCAGGCGATTCGGTACGCGTGAGCAAGTACAAGACGATTTTTGAGAAGGGTTACACACCAAATTGGACCACCGAAGTGTTTACGATCGTTAAGGTGCAGCGTACCAATCCCGTAACTTATCTACTCGAGGACTATCGTGGAAAATCCGTCGCTGGAGCGTTCTACGAGCACGAGTTGCATCGCGCTACTCATCCGGACGTGTATCTCGTGGAGAAAGTGTTGCGCAGGAAGGGCGACAAAGTGTACGTCAAGTGGCTGAGATTCGATGGATCGCACAATTCATGGATACACAAAAACAATGTTATTTGATAAATTTTTAATTGATATATTTTTTTTGTATACATATAACAATATAAGAACATAAATGTGTAAAATACTTTTTTTATTATCCTTTCCATTTTTAGAGTATACAGATATGAAATATGTATATAAATGTATGATACATGAAATGAAAAATAACAGTAATTCATAATAAATGATACTACATAAAACATAATAGTAATACTTATATAAACACGTAAAAACATAATGCGTAAATTATAATGATAATAGTACATAATAATAACAGGTATGTAGATTGTACCAGAATATTTAAAAAAATGTAAAAAGGCATACACAAAGTACAAATTAAGATAATACATAAAGCATAATAATAGTAATACATATACGCTGTATGAAAATATAAAAAAAATGTAAAAACATAATATAAATGTTGATATGTACATATATTACAAAGGTATCCGCCAATGTCCCCACGGTAACGTCTCCGTCGAATTCGGTACGACGTATCGTTTGTCATCGTATGGACTCAGAGCGATTTTCGATTCGGATATCGTATATACCTTGTGCAGTTTAGATCGTATACACGATTGACAACGAGTAATTTCGATCTCTTCGTTCATATATCGAGTGTAATCATCGAACGTTATCGTTTGCGCTACGACATTATTCTTTACGCCTTTCACCTTTTTAGTGTCCTTCTTGCCGTTTACCCTCATAGCGTACATCTTCGCTCTGAGACCAACGAATTCAGTCATTATCGCACCGTTATTTTCATCCTTCATCAGACCGGATACTTTTCTGTTCGCGAGAGGCATATCGTACACGTTGTCTGTCGGATAATCGTTCGTGTCGAATCTAGCAATATCGCGTTTCATAGTTTCGTAAACGTCCTCGCACTCGACGCGGTAAGACTGTCTATATCGGTGTACATTATTTTACATTTGTCGCTAAACAATGGTAACATATACTCGTGGTGAAATTCTTACAAGCAGACTTTCGATATGTCGAGTATACACATACCCACGTAAATCGGTTTGTTGAACTTCACCTCGAGTTTGCACAGTTTGACGGCTATTAAATTTTCCGCAAAGACGCTACGGCTATGGAAATTTGGTTTTGTAATCATTTCCTCCGCGCCGTACTGTCCATCCCATGTTAATAATTGTTAATAATTTTACATTAACGTGGTTGCGCACATTCTTCATAGTTTTACCGAATACCGCGTTGTTCATTAATTTATATAAATTTTTTTCGAAATCTTTTTTTCGTTTTTCGTGCGCATTCTGAAATTTGTATTAAGTTCAATGTAATCGCAAAGCCATGGAGATTGCGCGAATTATAGCACTCGATGGATCTTTGTTACGCGAAGACCGTGACGAGTACATTGCTGTAGATTGCGGTAGTGGATGACGTAACGCTGTTTATCGTACAGCGTCGCTAAAAGTTTATGTTCGCGCTTGCCGGACGGCTTATCGCGCGTCGGACAGAACGGTAGGTCAGTGTGTCGGTCGTGTATATGCTGCGGATACTCGAGATCGACTTCAAGAATGTAACCGGTGGGCGAATCCAGAGCAATCGCGCTCGCGTCAAAGTTCGCAGCGTCTTCGACCCATTGAAATTTGGCGTATGGCAAATTCACACATCGCCCATCCGTATAAATTGTTAACGTCGTAGTACATCAAGTACGACGACGGGTCGTACGAGTGCATGTACTTGTTATTAGCCTGTGCGTATCTGCCTGAACATTGACTGAGACCACCGGGTATATCGCACTCGATGAACATGATCATGTCAATATCAGTGAGCAATTCAAACTTTACACGCGTATGTTTTAATATCGCGTGAAACCAAGCAAGGTGTAATAATGTGCGGGATTGAGACCGTAACTCGCGACGCAACTTTTGCGGAAATTTTCGAAAATGTCGGCTAATAACAAGACATCGGTTTTCAAGTACAGATCACTGTACTCGCCGAGCGTTCGGATGGAGAATCGCTGCCATACATTCGCCGCGTGAGCGTAATCGCTCTCGGATACGGTATCGCCCGTTAACGAACTGTAAAAAGATTTGCGCGGTGATAAGTGCGTGTCCTGCAATTTTTCGGCACAGTCAACGTACTCGTATGAAAAGACTCTTTTACAAGTCAGTAATTCAAATTCATCATCCGATAGTGTTGAAAATTTTGAACGTATAATTTTTAATTTGTCTTTATCAAGATACGACGCTAATTCATCGAGACTTGTACTAAGAAATTTGAAAGAATCAATAAAACGTAATTTTACACAATTTCTTTGAAAATTATTTTCATTTTTATCTTTAGTGCTATCGACATGTTTTGTGAAGATGTATTTTTCTTTGGTTATCGGTAATACATCTACGCGTACTTCATATGCTGTAGCGATTTCCTTAATTATAAAATGCGCGTTGTAGCCCAATAAATTGTGAAAAACGATCGGAATATATAATAAATTTTTATAATTTAAATTACAGTTTGAATGCACTGGACCGCGGTATCTACCGATTAAGTGGCAATGATCGCTTACCCGCGTGTCGTCCGACGCGAACGGTTTCTCGCAGATGTGACAACGCGTCGCGCTACGGTACACCTCCCATTGTTCTTTCGACAACGTTTCCATGGGCACGTTGGCGGATACGATATTTTTCACGCGATGCGCCAAATCGTTGAGTTGTCGCGCGAACCACGCTATACAATCTTTATCGCGACGGAACTAATATGAAGATAACGCGTCATCGTATGAGCAACGCACGTAATAGCCTATGCTGAACCTAACCTCATGCCGTGATACGCGTACGACGACGCATCTTCCCTGTCGGGTTTCGTCTTTCGTAAAACGCACTCCAGATCGGCGTAGACGACGAATGGGACGCGCTCCTTGTTGCAGAGGTTCCCAAATTCGAGCCACTTTTCGTCCTCGCTCGGCAGTCGAATAGCGCAATCGTTGATCTTCTGGCAGTCCATTGTGTGCGACTGCAATTTCTCATTCGTTCTGAAGTACGAGGTCTGGCTATTAAATAACAAGACTGTGTATGAAAAAGAGTTTTACTTTAAAAATTATTCTACAATTTAATGCTCCCCTTCAATGTACTCCCCTCCCCTCGCCACACACCGTTCCATTCGTTTTTTCCATTGGTCAAAGCAATGCTGGAAGTCTTCTTTTGTAAGAGCATTTAGGAGCTCCGCCGATTTTCGCTTCACCTTTTCCATCGACTCGAACCGGGTTCCTTTTAAGGCAGACTTGATCTTCGGAAACAGGAAAAAGTCACAGGGTGCTAAATCAGGCGAGTACGGCGCGTGTTCGAGCACTGGAGTGCCTCTAGCGGCTAAATAACGCTTCACAGACAGCGCGTTATGGGCAGGTGCGTTGTCCTGGTGTAAGATCCACGACTTGTTTTTCCACAACTCCGGCCGTTTCTTACGAACTCGCTCTCGCAGTGTTGCCAAAACTGTCAAATAGTAAGTTTGGTTTACAGTTTGACCCTCTGGAACCCATTCAGTCATCACGATGCCGTTGATGTCGAAAAAAACGATTAGCATGGCTTTAAATTTTGATTTCGACATCCTTGCTTTTTTCATTCTTGGCGATGCAGGAGTTTTCCAGTGCATGGATTTCCGCTTAGTTTCAACATCGTATTGGAATATCCAGGTTTCATCGCAAGTGATGATGTTTTCCATCAATTCAGGCTCTTCATCTAACCTCTCAAGAAAATCTGAGCAGATCTGTTGACGGACGAGCTTTTGGTCAGGGGTCAAATTTTTTGGGACCAACTTCGCACAGACTTTCTTCATGTTTAATTCGTCATGTAAAATTTTTCTGACAGTTTCTTTATCGGCGTTTGTCTCAGCAATCATCCGAATGCTCATACGACGATCTCCGCGCACAATTTCATTGATTTTGGTCACTGTTTGCGGAGTTGAAACAGAGACAGGTCGACCTGGACGTTGGTCATCTTCGGTGCTCTCTCGGCCTTCAGAAAACCGTTTATACCATTCGAAAACACGCGCACGAGGTAGAGAATTCTCACTATAGGCCTCTTTCAACAACTTATAGCACTCAGTCGGAGTTTTTATTAATTTAACGAGAAATTTCACATTGATCCGTTGCTCATGTTTTTCGTCACACATTGTTATCGGCACGAGAAAAAAACAAGTTCGTTTCTAACCTATATAGAAAAAATACTACTACTGCGACAAAAACGTGTTTTTGTACTGGAATAGTAGACACTTCCAGCTATCCAATTCTGCATTCGTTTCCCACCCTACCCCTCTAGGACGCCTTCTGCGCGCGCAGTCTCGTTATTTAATAGTCAGACCTCGTAATGCAAGCATCTGAAAAAAAAACAAAAAATTACAACAGTTACCTATATTTTATTAATAAGATGAGAAATTATAATAATTTTTTCATGCACTTATTTTTCGTGTACTTACCGGTCGCAGAAATATTTCTTGTGCTCTTTTTTGCTTAATTGCGAGCTCACAAGACGCGACAGGTTCTTGATCCACGCAAAGTGGCCGACACCGTCGTTGCGTGGATCTTGCATGTACAGGAGATTGACATGCTTGTCCTTCTTGTCACTGGTGAGCCGTAGAAGAAGGACTTGTTTATTCTCGATGCCGTATACATTGATCGACACCGCGTTCAACCGTTCGAATTTCGGAATGTCTTTGAACGTTATCGGAAATTCGATACTCGCGAGATTCAACATCGTCGTATAATGCGGATACGATGACTCTCGCTCCCCATACTTTTCAGCCAGGTACAGAGCGGCAACCACTGACCACGCGAAGCACGCATTGTCCTCCGTTCTAACATTGATCACCGTTCGTTTCGTCGCTATTTCCCGCGGCACCTCGAAGTAACATCCTGCGCGCATGGGATTTAGTTTGTCCACATTCTCTTTGAGGTTCACATTCAATTGAGGATTCGTGACAATGACCACCCGCTGTCGCGTTCCTGGAACTCTTCGAGTGATGTCAACGTGGGTTCGATGATATGCTGCTCGTACCACTCGCGCAAATCGATGTATCAGTATATCTCACGGTTTTTAGTGTTTATACTCTTAATGTCACGTTTGATGTTTGTCATAAACTCGCCGTTGAACGCAGTGTTCACTTTTGCACTACCGTGTCTTTCTACGGCGTCTCGCACACGTTCGAGCACTGTTTCTCTCGCGTCGTCCAAAAACCGCCGTGGCTCGATGTAATCGACGTTGACCACAGCATTCGTCGATATACGGCTTTCAAACGCGGCGTCGATCTCTCGCCAGACGAGAGATCTTTCGTCGCGACTCGCGTACCAGCCACCAACGTATACGAAACGTCGCTCTAATTGTGTCTTTGCACCCGTGAGTCGCGCGATCCTCGCCACCATGGATGTCTGTGTCGGTGGGGCGCGGACGTTTGGCACGACAAAGCTCTTCGAGCCTCTCGATGCACTCGTCGCATCATTGCAGCCACGCGAAACATTCCACCAGAGTAGCGATATGGCTGCACTGCTCCAACAGTTCGCGTTCCACTCCCTCATGATTTTCCATTTTTTTCTTTAGACACGTCACACTCTTCCACGGAGCACTTGCACGTGACTCGTTCACACACGATGCAGCATCGCGACATATCTTGAAAATCATAATGTTCTAACACTTTTTTATTATGTTTGCTTGCGAAAATGCATTGTTCACACTCAAAGCATTGGTTGTCGCATCTGTCGAAAAATAGTTTTGGCGCAAGATCGCGATCACGAAACTACATCCATATACGAGTATTGTCAATAATCAGCAGTTCGACGCACTTTTCCCTATCTGCAGGAATCTTAATGCAGATGCACCAACCTTGGCTCTTATCTGCGATTTTCTTCGCCCAATAATAATTGTCCTTTATTACATTGACACTTCTATTCCACCAATGTCTCTTCTCATATTCATCGTCCTTGTAACATTTCTCTCGTAACCGTAGATACACTTTCTGTCGCAAGAGAAAAGATCAGTCAGAAACGGGCTCTCTGATAACTGTCCCATGTTTATCACCACGTATACCCAATTCACGATTGCGTAGGAATTGCACTGGCGATATTCGTGTACCAATGTCTCTTTTTTGCAGAATACTGAGAACATACAACACATCATCTACGTTAGAGTCTTCCCACATATTTTTCAGTAGTGTCTGGCTCATAATACCGTTCACAATAGTTTTTTTCAAGGATTCACGTTACTAATGTGTTCGACTACGTTGACTATGTCCTCAACGTTTGCACGATGATCACCCATACTTTTTTTCCACTATTCTTATTGCGATCAATTAGTTTGTCTTCCAGAGCACCAACTGAGGAACTGAGCGCTGATAACTCATTATATATTTTATTTGTGACTTCTTTGTCCCTTTGCCTATTGAGTCATACTTTATTTAGAAGTAGATAAGGCAGCATTTGACCACGGACCATGAACACACGTGAACTTGACCACATGACCTTGACCACACTTGACCTTGGCCACGTGACCCAGAGCACACGTAACTTGACCACGTGCCCTTGACCACACGTGACATCGACCACGTCACCTTGACCTCACGTGACTTTGACCAAGTGCCCTTGACCACACGTGACATTGACCACACGTGAACTTCACCAAGTGACCTAGACCACACGTGACTTTGACCACGTGCCCTTGACCACACGTGACCTTGACCACGTGACCTTGACCACACGTGACATTGACCACATGACCTTCACCACACGTGACATTGATCACGTGCCCTTGATCACACGCGACCTTGACCTCGTGACCTAGACCACACGTGACCTTGACCTCACGTGACTTTGACCATGTGCCCATGCTACACGTCACATTGACCACGTGACCCTGACCACACGTGACCTTTTCCACGTGTCCTTGAACTCTCGTGACCTTGACCACGTGACCTTGACCACACATGATCTTCACCACACGTAACCTTGACCACGTGACCTGGACCATAAGAGACCTTGACCACGTGACTCAGACCACTCGTAACTTGACCAAACGTGACCTTGACCACGTCCCGTTGACCACACGTGACCTTGATCACACGTGACCTTGACCACGTGACCTAGACCACTCGTGACCATCACCACATGTGACCTCGACCACACGTGACCTTGACCACGCGTGACCTTGACCACGTGACATTGACCACTCTTGACCTTGGCCACATGACCCTGACCACACGTAACTTGACCACACGTGACTTCGACCATGTGCCCATGCCACGCGTGACATTGACCACGTGACCCTGACCACACGTGACTTTTACCACGTGTCTTTGAACTCTCGTGACCTTGACCACGTAACATTGACCATACCTGACCTTGAACACGTGACCTTGACCACACATGATCTTCATCACATGTGACGTTGATCACGTGACATTCACCACACGTGACCTTGACCACGCGACATTGACCACACGTGACCTTGACCACGTGACTGTGACCACGTGACTTTCACGACGTGACCCTGACCACACGCAACTTGTCCAAATGTGACCTTGACCACACGTGACCTTGAACGCACGTGACCCTGATCACACATGACCTTAACCACGTGACCTTGACCACGTGACCTTGACCACACTTGACCTTGTCCACGTGATCCTGACCCCACGTAACTTAACCATACGTGACTTAGACCACGTGACCTTGACCACACGTGTCATTGACCACATGACCTTGACCACTCGTGATGTTGACCACGTAACCTTGACCACGTGACCTTAACCACGTGTCCTTGACCACGTGACCTTGAACACGTGACCTCGACCACGTGACCTTGACTTCACGTGAGTTTAACCACATGACCTTGAGCACGCGTGACTGTGACCACACGTGACTTTGACAACGTGACCTTGACCACACGTAACCTTGACCACGTGACCTTGGCCACACGTGAACTTGACCACGTGACTTTGACCACACGTGAATTTGACCACGTGCCCTTGATCCCACGCGAGATTGACCACATGACCTTGACCAGATGTGACCTTGAACACGTGACCTTGACCACGTGACCTTGACCACACGTGACCTTGACCCCACGTGACCTTGACTACGAGACCTTGACCACAAGTGAGCTTAACCACGTTACATTGACCACACGTGACCTTGACCACGTGACACTGACCACGTTACCTTGATCACATGTGACCTGGACCACGTGCCTTTGATCAGACGTGACCATGACCACGGGATCTTGACCATACGTGACATTGACCACGTGACCTTGACCACTCGTGACCTTTACCACACGTGACCTAGACCACGTGACCTTGACCACACGTGACGCTGACCACGTGACATTGACCAAACGCGACCTTGACCAGACGTGACCTTGACAACGTGACCCTGACCACAAGTATTGTTCACCACACGTGACCTTGACCAAGTGACCATGACCACAAGCGACCTTGATCACGTAACGTTTACGACGCGACTTTGACCACAAGTGAGGTTCACCACACTTGATCTTAACCACGTGCCAATGACCACACGTGACTTTGACCACGTTACCTTGACCACACGTGACCTTGACAAACATGACCTTGACCACACGTGACCTTGACAAACATGACCTTGAGCACACGTGACCTTGATAACGTGCCCTTGACCACACGTGACCTTGACCACACGTGATCTTGACAAACATGACCATGACCACACGTGACCTTGACCACCTGACCTAAACCACACGTGACCTTCACCACGTTAACTTGACCACACGTGACCTTGACGACATGACCTCCGCATGGCCACCATTTGTTCCACACGTGGCCATCACATGGCCACCACGTTGCTCCCACGTGGCCCTCACGTGGCCGCCATGTGGCCACGACCTGACCACATCGTTGCTCCCACTTGGCCCCACGTGGACTCCACGTTGACTCCACGTGGCCACCACGTGGCCACTAATTGGTCACCACGTTGTCCCCACGTTGACTCCAAGTAACTTTCACGTGGCCTCCACGTTGTCCTCACGTAGCCACCACGTGGCCAGTATGTGGCCACCATGTTGCCCCATGTGGACTCCTTGAGGCCACCACGTGGCAGCCATGTAGACTCCACGTTGATTCCTTGTGATCACCACGTGGCCTCCTCGTTGACACCACGTGGCCACTATGTGGCCACCACGTTGTCCCCACATGGACTCCACGTGGCTCCTACAATGCCCCCACAATGCCCCCACGTTGCCCCCACGTGGCCACTACGTGGCCATCATGTTGCCACTACGTGGATTTCTTGTGGCCACCACGTGGACTCCTCGTGGCCATCACGTGGCCGCCACGTGGCCCCGATGTGACCACAACGTTGCCCCACGTTACCTCCACGTGGCCACCGCGTTGCCCTACGTGGTCTCTTCGTAGACACCACGTGGACTCCTCGTGACCATCACGTGTACTCCACGTGGCCACCACGTGGACTCCTCGTGGCCATCACGTGGACCCTATGAGGACTCCACGTTGCCCCCAAGTAGCCACTACGTGGCCACCGCGTTGCCCCCATGTTGCCCCCACGTGGCCCCCACTCTGCCCCCGACCACTTGGGCCGTCGACCACTTGGACACCGACCATGTGGCACCCAACCTCTTCGACCTCCAACCACGTGGCCCTGCCCACGGTGCCCTGCCTACGTGGCCCTGCTCACGTTGCCCTGTCGACTTGGTTTTCCCTACGTGGCCCTGCCCACGTGGCACTGCTCACGTTGCAAAACCCACGTTGTCCTTCCCACGTGCTTCTGTCCACGTGACCCTGCCAACGTTCCCTGCCGACGTGGACCTGACACGTGGCCCTGTTCACGTGTTTCTGCTCACATGACCTTGCCCACGTGGCTCTGCTCACAAGGAACTGCCCACAAAGCCCTGCCAACATGGCCCTGCCCACAAGGCCTTGCCCACGTGGGCTTGCTCACGTGGCCCTTCCTACAAGGATCTGCCTACGTGACAGTGCCCACGTGGACCTGCCCAAAAGGGCCTCCCTACAAGGCTCTGTCCACGTAGCCCTGCCAAAGATGGCCCTACCCACGTGGCCCTGGCAAAGATGGCCCTGCCCACCTGGACCCTCCCAAGGTTACACTGCCCACAAGGTACTGCCCTAAAGGCACTGCTCACGTGACCCTGCCCACACATCCCTGCCCTCGAGGCCCTTCCCAAGGTGGCCAGGCTTACATGGATTTGAAAACGTGGCTCTGCCCACGTGGTCCTGCCCTCACGTCCCTGCCCATAAGGACCTGCCCACGTGGTCCTGCTCAATGTGGCCTTGTCACGTGGCCCTGCCCACGAGGCCATGCCCACGTGGCCCTGCTTAAGTGGCCCTGCCCACATGACCCTTCCCACGTTGCCTTGCCCATGTGGCCCTGCAAACGTCCCCTGCCCACGTGGCACCCGACCACGTGGCCCACGACCACGTGGCGCCCACATGTACCCTACATGGACCCCAACCACTTGGACCCCCGACCAGGTGGCTCCGATCACTTGGACCCCCGACCACGTGGCTCCCGACCACGTGGCCCCCTACCACGTGGTTCCCACGTGACCTTCACGTGGCTACCACGTGGCCTCAACGACCACTTGGACCACCGACCACATGACCCTCGACCACATGGCCCCCGATCACAAGTTCCCCCGATCACAAAGCCTTCGACAACGTGGCCCCCGACCACGTGGCCCCCGACCATGTGGCCCCCGACCACATGGTCCCCCGACCACGTGGCGCCCAATCACGTGGCCCCAACGTGACCCCTACGTGACGCCGACGTGGCCCGCACGTGGCCCCCGACTACGTCGTTCCCCGACCACTTGGCATCCGATAACGTGGTCATCGACCTATTGCATCCCTGACCACGTGGCTCCCGACCACTTGGAAACCGACCACGTGGCCCCCACATGGCCCCCACATGGCCCCCACGTGGCCTCCATATGGCCCCCGACCACTTGGACCCCGACCACTTGGACCCCGACCACGTTGCCCTTACACGCCCCCCACGTGGCCCCCGACCACGTGGCCCCCACGTTAACATCACGTGGTCCCCACGTGGCCCCCGATCACTTGGACTCTCGTCCACGTGGCCCCCGACCACGTGATCCCGCGACCACGTAGCCCCCACGTAGCCCCCACGTGGCCCCAGACCACGTGGTGACCACGTGGCTCCCATGTGGCCCCCACGCGGCCCCCGACAACTTGGACTCCCGACCACTAGGACCTCCGACCTCGTGGTCCCCGACCACGTAGCCCCCGACCACATTGCTCCCACGTGGCCCCCGACCATTTGGACCCCCGACCACGTGACCCCCGATTACGTGGCCCCCGAGCATGTGGGCGGTGCAATGGACGGCATCATACGCTAAGTCCCAAAGGAAGGTCCCCAAAACGAATCCTTCTCAGGAGAGCTAGCCTGGCATTCTTCCACGACCGGAGGAACCGGCTGTACCTGAAGCATTCTCTGAAGAGTTGCCCCTCCAACGCATCAACGGCCAATGCCGAGACCCTATCAGGTATCTTATCCAGACTTGGCGCTTTGATTAGGCCCCTTGGCCTTCGAAAGGCCTCCGACAGGGAAGCTGTTTTTCGCCCCCCATCCCTCAAACAACCACGACGGAACCGCAACCGTTAGTCGCCTAATTTCAGTGGCCTCTGGGTACTCTCAATACGACTCCGCCACGATTCCCAACTCCAGACCGCGTTCCGTGAGTGCAGGAATAAGTCCTGCGGTCGTAGTCCAGGTTCTTCTAGAGAACGCCGTCTATTCTTGCGCATATGAGCCTCCTCCACGGCGATCTCCATCGGCGCGCGATGCGGAAGTACTCTCCCCCTTGGTGGCGATGGAGGGCTCTAGGCTCGGCGGAAAGACCGCCTTACAGGCACCACCAACTTAGCTCAGCCTCGAATGAGTGAACAGATCTTACTCCCAGAGCGATGGTCCAGGTTCTCTTTCCCGCGTCCTGACACGGCAGGCAGCATGCCTCCGCCATGCAGCTGCGAGCCGTGTGGCCCGGGGCCCCGCAATGATAGCAGTAGTCGCTATGGGCCGTTTCGCTGGAATACGCCGTCCTCACATGCCCAACCCCCAGGCACCTAAAACATTGCAGGGACCGCTCGGGGAGGACCTCTACGCGACCAGCCTATTACCAACCTGCTTTCAGCGGCGACTTTGTTGGCCGCGGTGACCGGGCAGCGTGCCTAAACTGACCCAAGTCCATCTCGGGTCGCGCGTTTAATTTCTATCCTTACGGAGTCTCGCGATACTCGAATCATGTTCTAGTATCATGAACACAAACCCTAAGTACATAATATTTATATTGGTCACAATAACACGAAAGTAAATTTATATTGATTTTCGAGAGAAGAGTTTGTTTTTCTTCGATTTCCATCGTCAGTACGCATCACTTGTAAAATAAAATATTGGTTAACAAATATTTTTATAAATTATATTTAGGGTTATTAACGATAACGTATCGGTCGTTATCATGTCTTTTTTGCTCAAATTTAACGATGACCTTATAGAAGAGAATAATGAGAAACAGGAAAATATAGACTTAATTACTTTCAAACGTTGGTAAGTTTAAAATTTCTTTTTTTTTAATTTTTTTAAATATACATCGACGAATAATTTTGAAATAATAATGGACGGATATTAACAATCCAGATAGAATTAAACGTATTTGTAGTACGTATTTTTAGTACGTCGATTTAACCAGAAGATTATTCAACAGCATATTACATGTGCTTTTATAATATAAATGCGATTAGATTATTTTTTATACATATTTTTCTGCAACAATGGAAATTTATGTGTAAAAACTCTTAGTCCAAATCTATTGTACAATAAATGTTTTCATACTTGCGTACGAAATTTACCTATTACAATCGAATGCAAGATGAATAATTAATTGACTATGATTCATTTCTTATGACTTAAGGCTTAAAAGTCTTTTGTAGATCTGGGCTTATTCTACGATTGCAAAAGTCAAAAAAGATACTAAAAAAAGTACAAGAAAACATTCGTTTGTGTGTTGATTAAAATTCCCAAAAATTTTTACTTAAAACAAGATAAACATACGCACATTTGGGCATTGAAAAGAGAAAACGTGAAGATTGAGAGTAAGAAATACGAGCAATATAAAAAGATCCAAGATTTTACGTTCAATTGTCCACATAGGCATCGAGAATTGGATAACTTGCAATAAAAGCAACGTAATAGCCAATTAACATTTCTCGCGAAATAAAAAAGTGATGTCATAATTATCATATTTAAATTTAAATTTATTATACTTTTTACGTCTGGATAAGCACAGGTAAAGCGTATAAGATTTCTTTTCGTTTTTTTAATATTTATGACAATATGCAATATTGTTTGTAATTATAATATTAACTTCAAAAATATGACAAAAGAATGTATCATTACTTGATCCTAATATTTTCCTCATTAACATATAGTCATGACCTTCAACGATTACCAATAACACTTTCGCTGGTACAATGTTATAATTAACTATAATGACTACCAATAACATGTTTGCATGTACAATATTCATTGTGGAGTGACGTGTCTCCCGAGAGATGTTATTTCTTTTAAAATATAGTAGCCCGGCAAAATATTTTTCATACATAATTATACATAAACGGTTATACATAACTAATTTATATATAATTTATTTATAACCGTTGCAAATTACATACAACCGTTTATGTATAATTATGTATTGTATGATGACAAATTCTTGATGGGCTGTTATAAAAGAGATAAGATCACTCAAAAGACACGTCATTCCGCGAAATATTGTACCAGTACAAACATGTTATTGGTAGACATTGAAGGTCATGCCTATAATGAGAAAAATATTAGGATTAAGTGGTCAAATATTTATTTGACATATTTTTGAAATTAATATTACAATTATAAATAATATTGCATATTGCAATATAAATATTACAGAAATAAATGTTTCGACTTTTTTGCTACAAAAATTGAAATTTAAAATGTTTTAGATCAGAACGAGCCCTCGAAGTTTAAAGACAGGAAGTTATTTGTGAATAATTGATAAACATTTTATCTTGCAATTATACATTTACAAAAAAAAAGCACTGTTATGTAGGGTAAAAAGTATAATATCAATTTGTAGATCATTAATAATATTTAAAAAAATATATATTACAAATTTTAAACAATAACAAAAGGATAACTATAATAGGCTAATGAGGGTCAGCAACACGTCAGAGATTTGGAGTGACACATCGTCGTACACGGATGTGTGTTCTAAAAATGTGTGATCTTTATATTTGATTTTAACAATTCTACTTTTTATAAAGTTTTAGTATTATATGTTTAACAAAGCTTCAGTGCAATGCTTCATGCTATTCCGTGATGACTAACAACGCTGCATCTTTGTCAATTTGCGAGTGACTTAAACATTATGAATATATGAGCTAATTATACTTGTATCATTCTTGCTGAGAAGGACTCTAAAGAGAGTCGAAACGTTCAAAATAAAGAAGACATCAATCTAATTTTTGATTATTGATTGTTCACTAAATAATTGCGCCGTTTATCGTTGCTGACTCTTATTAGCCTATTATATCTTTTTGTTATTGTTTAAAATTCGAAAGTCCTAATATAATTATTGTTATTGTTTACAAATTTTGCTTTGAATGCCCCAAATGATTATAGAAATAAAGTTGAGTTCATTTTATGATAACTTGTTATTTTATATTTTTAACGCGTTAAATTCTATATCATTCTGCAAGAAATTCTAAAACAATAACCTTATTCAGCATTCAAATACTCTTTGAAATATTATAATATACTCGTATATTCCGAAAAATTATATATAAATGGAATATATCTACAAATAATAATATAATAAATTATACATAATTAAAAATTTTTATTTAATAATTTTGTATAGTGATTTATAGTTTTGTATAGTATCCATATATAAAATGTGATTATATTATATATATGAAAAAAAATTTTCTTTTCCGGAAGATTATAAATAGACAAAAGTCCAGCTAAATAAAAAATTGCAATTTTTACTTGTTGCGAAAACAAATAGAAGACTTTTTTATTTAAATAATTTTTTTATAATTTAATAAACAAAATATTTCATATTAAACATCCACACACATTACAAAATCATAGAAAAATATTTATATAAATACTACTAATAAAAATAATACAAAAAAAAATAAACATATATGGGAATGTGTGTGATAATGTGCGAGTGTCTATTTCAGAGGTGTTACAAATGATTGATTACATTGGTCATAGAACCGGATTTATGGAGAATGACTCTAATTTATATTAAGCAGTTTTATCCAATTTTATTACAATTTTTATAGAGAATTTTGTATATTTTTTTTGTAAAAATCAATCAAAAAAAATATTCATGTCGTGCTTGCATATAAAAATAAATGTATGAACGGAGCGAAAAGAAAGTGATATAAGATCTACTATTCAATTTATAATTATTTCCAAAACTGTGTAGTTATTTTAATTGAGCACAGCATCCATGAATCAAACTGGATAGATCATGAATCTTCTCAGCAATAATGTCATTCGCTTCGATCAATTTACAATGTACCCGAATTACATATGGATCATATACTTGATAATCCTTTATCTCATGAAAATATTCATGTACAAGATAATTAAACAGCACTTCGATCATACTTAAAAAAAATCACTTAAATTTATTAACTTTTTTTATAGATAATTATTATAAATAGTTATTGACGATAA